GCCGTTAGACAACCGTTAAACGGCTTCAGTCATCCGTTAGAACAAACTGTGCAACCGTTAGAACGTGTTCTTCATCCGTTAGGCATACTTAGTTAGCTGTTAGAACGTTAGGAGAGAGCGTTAGAACGCTTTGATCATCCGTTACGCACAATTAGATAACCGTTAGAATGTTTAGACAAAACGTTATTTGTCGTGAAGGCCGTTAACTATCCATTAGCTATCCGTCCGTTAGCGGCCGTTTAACGGATAAGCATTAAGATACGTTTTCCCGTTCACTGTCACATATATTTAATACGATGTACAATTACAAGGCTCAAAATGGTGCTGTCTAGTCAATCTGAGACAAGTGCATTTTCCTGCGGGGCAAGAAACTATTTATTCTCACTTGCCTGATGTTCAAGGGCCCAGGCAAGTCATTTGCCAATTAAATAAAAACAAATTTAAATAAACTAAAACTTGCCCAGGACAAGCAAAATGTAAGAGCTGCTTGTCCAAAGTACAAGTTTGTAGCATTCTTATATACATGAGCCACTGTTTAATGTAGATAATGTAATTTGCATGTACAAATTTGCACATAAAACACAAAACTCACCAATGCAAGACTGGATCGTGTTGTTCTCCTGTGAACAAATTAATCGCCAATTGAATGAAAACAATGATTTAAAATAAATGTTCTAGGTATTTAACGCATTTTATAAAAATTAAATATATTAGCTACATAGTATTATATACATGACTGTACAATTATTCATACATGTACATTAGTTCAAGAGTATTGCAAAGGCATTTTTGAAAGCTAGATGTTCATTTTTAATTAATGCTTACAGCCATACAGTAGTACAATACTGCATGTCCACACATGTACCTTCTGTAAGCTGGCAACCTTGAGGCCAGAAAGTGACCACTTCTTTGTGAGAAGTGTGACTGCTTTTGGGAGGTACTGTACATGCCGTGGATAGATTTAAATTTACCTGGCACTCCAAACTTGTGACCAACAACCAACATCCTGCTCAGCGCAATCAACATCTGCCTCACTTCTTTTACTATCAGAATCATTTTCTTTCACTACAGGCAAAAATAAATCATACACTGTACATATAAGATCAAACTGACTTTGCAGATGTACACGAAGCAAATACATGTATTCTGTTATCCTTCTAAATGACCTTATATTATAGTTTTCCAATAAAATAATAAATAATATCAACAGGGTTCTCAAAGTACAGGTCAAAGTACACCAGAAATCACTATCTTTAGTACTTGGTAGTCGACAAGCTGTACTTGATCTTTACTGGCTACTCTACAGTGCTATTTGTCTGATTTGTTACAAAAGCACAACAAAATCAAGAGCTCGACAATGAAGCCTCTTACATCAAAGCTTTGCAACAACTCTGATGGATGTGTAATTAATATAAATAAATTAAATAAATACTAGTTATGAAAAATGCAATGCTTTCGAGGGGGATACTATGGAATATCCTGCAAGTCACTTGCATTTTCTTGGTACACACACAAGCCTTTACGCACGCGTGTATACTAAGAAAATACAAGTAAAAATTATGGGATATTGATCCTGACCACTGGTATTCAACAAGAGAGCATTGCATATATTAACTATTTTAATAATTTATACCATGCCATACAAAATACACCAGCCATACAATCAATGTGTAGTTCCAACAAATATCTATACCTCCCCAGTGGAAGGGAATTTTTCTAAGTCCCCCCCACCTCTCTTGAAATTCCGATTGAGCTTCATACACTTCTTTAATTTTTTTTGTCTTACAGAACACATCACCCCCCCCCCCAGGAAATTCCAATCCCTTTTGGGGGGGGGGGTAAGGCTATTTTCTGGAACTGAACAATGCAACATAAACGTATCACACCATGGTAAGGTTGGATTTAATACCGTCACATAATACACTAAATGGCTTTACTGTATTCTGATTCGCTCTATTTTCTATGGCTATGATTTGTAAGTGTACAATGTAAGTGTATGCAGAATGCAATTAACAACATCAAAAGACTTTCAAGATGACAGTATGTATTACACCAGCCTGTGTACCTTCTACACTCTTGAGAAACCTTTCTACTCTCTTTTGAGGTGTAACGCTCCGGACCTTAGGATGTTTCTTTAATGCATCTACTCCATTACTTGTGTCTCCTTTTAACTGAAAGTACAAATGTAATATACATGTACAGTGTGATGACAACCGTGTAGTTTATCAAATACAATCAAAACTTCTCCAAGATGAAAGAGTGCATACATACATGTACCTATAAAAGGTAAGTAAAAAAAAAAACATTAACAGCAACAACATTTTGACATCATACAATCATGTAGTTATCAAATGGGCATGGTACATGTAGATTTCAATGTTACCATTTTTCAACACTGCTCCCTGTTTTGAACACATACCTTAACAAGTGAAAAGTCACTAGGATAGTCACTGGCAGGATTGTGGCGGGGAATGATCTTCCAGGAATTAACAGCAGATGAGTCAAGGGCTGCCATGACATACCCATCACGAGCTGAGGTGCTGTAGTAACCATTGAAGACAACTATGTATTCTGTATTAAAATGAAAAGTTAAAATTATCACTTTCTAACTGACACTGGATTAATCACATAATTGAATGGCTTAGTGCAAGACTGACGAAAGTGACTTTTTCAGGTGAAAAATGATTTTTTTGTTCAAAAGCGCCCGAATTTTTGCATGTCGTCCTCAATTGAGTAGAAGAGCATAGCCCTGTACATTTTTTTGCTGGTTTGTGCTTTGTCTTCAGAAAAAAAGAAAGAAACATTAGGACAACGGTGACTTCAAAACAATAATACAGGGCCGCAAAACGAAATGGATGAACAAGGGCCTTAAAGAAAGATGAGCCTATAACTTGACAGTTACAGTAAAGGTAACATAACCCCACGGCTAGCGTTGGACCTAAAAGCAAACCCTAACCCTTGGCCTAGGGTTAGCATTTAGTGTTAGAGTTACCATTTTAGTGCTGAGTTTAGGGTTAAGGCTAGGGTTAAGGCTAGGGCTTGGGCTAGGGCTAGGGCTAGGGCTAGGGCTTAGGGCTTAGGGTTAGAGTCTCGGAACACTCTGTGCTAGGGTTAGTTCTATTTTGGTGCTAGCCTAGGGAAAATAATTAATGAATTTTTTGTAATAGTGTTCGATAGTGAAATATGTCTGTAAATAGTGTCAATTAATAAAAAATCTGAAATCAGAAAACGCTTCATTTCATAAACACAGCATGATCGTGAATCTAAATAAAGTCAACGACTAGTGTCTATTAGCGGTGGTTACCTATCTTCTGAGAGAGAAACGTTTTGCAATCAGTGAAAACATGAAACTCGTTTACAATAAAAACGAGTTCGGTTTGCATTCTTTCAAAAAAAAAAATCACTAACGAAATGCGACATTTCATAGGTTCTACTGTGATGATGTAAAACGTTTTGAAATGCAACGTGCTATAACAGCGCAGCTTGCCATTACTTTGAATGCGTGACGAACAACAAATACCTTATAAAACATATTTTGTGAGACATTTTGCAATCAGTGAAAACACGTAACTCTTTTAGAACAAAAAAGAGTTCAGTTTGCATTCTTTCAAAAAAAAAGTGAAAATCACTAGCGAAATATGACATTTCATAGGTGCTACTGCGATGTAAAACGTTTTGAAATTCAATGAGCTATAACAGCACAGCTCGCCATTACTTTGACTGCATGAGGAACAAAAAATACCTTATACAACATATTTCGTGAAATGTTGCCACAAGGAATTAA